AACATCGATCAGCTGCCTCCTGCACATCTCCCACTGGGGATGTGCCCACAACCCAGGTACATGCTCTTGACCAGAATCGAACCAGGACCCTTTCCGTCCACAGGCAGACGCTCTATCCACTGAGCAACACCGGCCGGGGCTTAAGTGTCTTCATTTTTTTTTTTAATTTCTTTTCATTCGTTTTTTTTTTAGTTTAAATTCGTTATTGTGGAAAGTCTATGTGTCAACATGATGAACAAGAATAGAACCAGAGAGAAAGGAAATATTTCAGAATATACTAGAAGGGATCTTGCGATTGGCAGATTTTTAATATTTCCTGCATCTTTTGAATTATTACATTTAAGACCATTTTTTTAAAAATAGGCATGTTTATTGCATGTGATTTTGTGACGTCATACTATGTGAGCAGAGTTTGGGTGATATTATTATACCTAAAATCCCTTTTTTCTTGAAATAGGAATGTTTATTGCATGTGATATTGTTCCATTTAGGATCGTTTTTTCTTGAATAATTGGTGTTGATTGCATGTAACATGACGATATCTAAGGTCGTTTTTCTTGAGATATTCATGGTTAGCGCATGTAACGTTATTGTATCTAAAATTGTTTATTCTAAAAATATTTGTTTAGTGCATGGACTGTTATATTTAAGATTGTTTTTCTTAAAATATTAATAACGTTTATTGCGTGTAACATGGTTATATTTAAAAGCGTTTTTCTTCAGATATTAATGTTTATGGCGTGTAACATTATTATATCTAAAATTGTTTTTCTAGAAATAATTGGTTAGTGCTTGTATTATTACATTTGAGATCATTTTTTTAAAAAAAAAATGAATGTTTATTGCGTGTAACATGATTATATTTAAAAGCGTTTTTCTTGAGATATTAATGTGTAGTGCAGGTCTGATCGTATTTAAGATCGTTTTTATTAAAATGTAAATGTTTATGGCATGTAACATGCTTATATTGAGAAGCGTTTTTCTAGAAATATTTATGTTTAGTGCATGTATTATATTTAAGATCCTTTTCCTTAAAATATGGATGTTTATTGCATGTAGTAAGATTATATTTAAGATTGTTTTTCTTGAGATATTAATGTTTATTGCATGTAACATTATTATATTTAAAAGAGTTTTTCTGGAAAAAAATGGAAAAAAAGAAGAAACTCAACAACTGAGCCAGCCAGCCGG